GGGGGGGGGGGGGGGGGGGGGGGGGGGGGGGGGGGGGGGGGGGGGGGGGGGGGGGGGGGGGGGGGGGGGGGGGGGGGGGGGGCAACAAGCTTGCCTGAGCAGGAGCACAGCCCAAGCCGTGCCACTGGGGATGCCAAAGGCCACCAAAACGTGTCTGCAGGAAGCCTTGGCTCCCCCCAGGAGGCCTGTCCCCAACCCACAGCATGGAAGTGAGCCAAAGGGATGAAGGACGGCTGGGGCGATGCAGGTCCCAGCCCAGCCCGTGGGAGCGGAGGAGGAGAGGGGCCAGATCCTGGGGAGCAGCTACTGCTTGGAGCTCCTTGCACTGGGACAGAGCGGGGGCTGTCAGGACTGGGGTCCCACTGCCCAGAGAGACACGCCATCACCGGTCCCTTATCTAGGGAAAAGGAAGCTTCTGTATTTATTTTGTGTAGAAAAAGCTGCTTTCTTACTGCCAATAGAGCCCCTGTCACAGGCTCCCTGCTAACCCCAGAGCTGCTCTGGAAAGATAAACACAGCTCTTTTCCTGAGCATAACAAAGTCTCTCCATAAACTGGGTTTGGGGTTTTTTTTCAGTCCTCTGGTACTGTTTTCTCCTCCCGAGCGCATGCAGGTTATCCCACCCGAAATGCTGCACAAGCATCTCTGACGCAGTGCAGCCGGGGCAGAGCTGGCAGCTGCTGAAGCCCCATGGTGATACGGATGGGAAGGGGACAGGATCGCACCCCATCCCTTAGGGAGCGCTGGGCACCCCATCAGGGGCACCGTGCACCCCCTGGCCAGCATCCACCAGGCCTTCCCCAAGCTGCTCCCTCTAAACTCAGCCTGCATCCTGGGGCTTGTGTTGCCTGGGATCTTGGCTGGGATCTGCCTCTTGTTCAGCCTAAGAAAGAGGTTCCCTTTTCCTGGCTAAGAAATAAATCAGTCAATAAATAACTCCACAGGCACCAGGAAAGAAGAAATTCTTTGAATTTACCCAGGAGGGGCTAACACCAGGTTAGTCTGTCCTAATGTAATTGCTAGGCAGGCCCTGCAGGGAGTCCTCCCTGGATGCAGTTGTGCTAAAGTATATCAAAGCCACATCCTCAAAGGTACCTGCCAGAGCATCCTTTAATATAATAGGTTTAACTCCTAAGTTTCTCAAGGTGTGCTGGCAATTCAGCCCCCTGGGAAAGCCCCAACAAGCTCAGGACACAGCACAAAATGGGGCTGGTTTAGAAAAATACCACAAAGATGCCAAGTGCTGCACCTGTGTCCCAGCACCCTTCAGTTTGTGTTTTTGCCAGATGCTCCCTAACTGCTGCCTCGTTGCTCCCCAAAAGGAGCAGGATCAGGAGTAGCAGTGAGAGAGGGTGCCTGCCTTGTTTACTATAGAGATGCTCTACCTGTGCTGCTAATTAGTGGCATGAGGAGTGAGCGTCTTCCTCTTCGGTGGCAAGCAGCTAATCAACTAATTAGAATAATGAATAATTGAGCAGGTAAAACTCTGAAGCTATTTGCTAACAGGCCACGGATGGGTGTGGAGCCTTTTCTCCAGCCACCAGCTCAGCAGCAGGGTGGGCAGTGATGCTCCAGAGCTGTGTGACACTGGTGGTCCCAGCCCCACCACTCCATGGATGCCCTGTGTGGGAAAGGGCCCTGCAGGTATTTCCTTGGGGATCCTGCTTTGCATCATCTCTGGGTTGTTTGTTTTTTTGTCTGTGGGGTTTTTTTGTTGGTTGTTATTTGGTGGGTTTTTTGTTGTTGTTGTTGTTGTTGTTTTTTCCGGGGGGGGAACTATAAGCCCAAATTTCTTTTATTTTTTGCACATATGCTGCATTTTCCACACCAGCTCCCCATGATCCTGGGCAGGCAGCTGATGCTCAACAAGGGGACCTCTGCCAGCTTGAGACTGGTGACAAGGGTGACTCTGGTGGTCAGACACCAGGAATTTTGTGTCTTTTTGGGGTGCTGAATGAGGGGGAAGTAGGTGCCTCCCCCAGACACGCTGCATCACTCCCATTCATCCCTGGCAGCTTGTGGATAGGGTGGGAAAGTGTGGCCCCAGCCCCACAGCATCCCTTCAGGCAGTGCCATCAGCATGGAGTGAGACTGGTGACAGAGCCCCTGGTGCCACTCAAAGAAAGGGCTGTAGGAGTGAGATTTTAACAGGTAAGACAATTAAAGGCTGTGTAGTCTGCAGAACAGACAGCCTAAACAAACGTGGGTGTGTTTTCTGTCTTGGAGGAGTTTGCTCAGCTATAGAAAATTCCCAAAGTTTTAAAAATGAGGAATTTCCACCACCCCGCCCAGGAGTGCTGAAACAAATGAAGTGATATCTACATCGAAAGCATAGTGGGCTTATTTCCAGATCCAGGGCACGCAATCCCTTCAGGAACTGCTCCTCTATCGGAAATCACCAAAGGGTGCCAAGCCCAGGCCAGCTCGGTGCTGCCCACTCCCGAGCCCGGCAGCCTGCTGCCTGCCGCTCCCCCAGCCTGTGTGGGAGCTTTACCTCCCTGTGGTAAAGCCCACCCACAATCCAGGTCACATGTGGGAATGCTGCTTCCTGCAGCCAAGGGGGAGTATTTGAGACTGAGAGCTGATGTGACCTTGGGCTCAGGCAGGGAGCTGCCACGTGTCCCCCCCCACCATGTGCTATAACCGTTGCACTTGGCTCTTGCCCTTTCCTCTGTTCAAAAGAAGCTGGTTTTAGTCACTGCTTTCCCAAAGTGCTTAACGGCTCTCTGATCCTGGTTGGAGAAAAAAACAGAAGAGCAGATCATCCACCTTTGCAGCTCCCTCTCTGGCCCAGGCCCTTTTCTCTCCATTTGCATCACACATGCAGCAAGCTGGGACCGATCCTGTGGCATCCCCTCCCTGATCAGACACATGGAGGGAGCCCTGTGTCACCATCGGGTGCCAGTGGACCACCCTGCAGAGCATTAACATGAGGGCTGGGGGCTGCTTTCCACTGCACCTCCATCCTTCCCCTATCAAGGCAGAGGATGAGCCCAGCTCCCCACACTGATGGAGATCACCCACAATGCAAGCAACCCCCAAAGTTGCAAATGTCACGCTCAGATTTTGGGGCACCCAGGCAAAATTACAATTGAAAAATGCAGCTGGTGGGGCTCCAGCAGCTACTGCTCTTCCTTGAAACACCCACAGGTGGTTTCCTTCGCGCCGTGTGCCTGGGCCTGTGTTAGAGCAGATGGGAAAGGAGTCCCATCCCCACTGGTGTGGGACAGGTTGGGCCATTTGTTCTGCTGCTGGTGAGGAAACCTTGGCTCTTCTTTGCTGAGCACTTGGGGTAATCCTGCATCATCATTAAGTTATTTCTGACAATCACGACCCTTTCCTACAGGCATAAGGAACCACTCTGTGCCCATCACAGCAAAACCCCCTGATCAACACCTCCAGAGCCTGACCCAGACCCATCCATCAGCAGGTCAGACCCACCAAGGGCATCATGCAATTAAAAATCTGATTTTTAAACCTTTCTGCCCTCATCCTTGTGAAGCTTTTATCTGAGGGTGGGAGGAGGAAAGCTTCATTAGTCTGTGCTGGGGTCGCTTATTAACCTACTGGTTCCTAATGATGCACTTATCTCCTCCTGCCAGCCCTGGACCTGCTCGGGCACCTCCGGAGAGGCTCTCCTGCCCTACATTGCTCTCTCTTCATTAGCTTTTCATTTTGCTTAATTGTTCCTGCAGATTTGCCAGGGATGTTTGGCCTGGGGAATGCCCGTGGGGAGATGGGAGTGCAGGGGAGCGGGGCAGTGCTCTGCCAGACATGAAGCTGTGCCGAGGCCTGGGACGCCACAACGCAGGTTCACAGTGACGGGAAGAGCAGGTAACACTCATGGTCTTGCCTGCTGCTGCCCAGCTGTGAGTGGGGATTTGGTGTGAACTCCTAGACTGGCTGGGGTAAGTATTTGAGGTCACGGGTACCAAACTTATGCAGGAGAGCACTGAGTAACAACTCTACCTAGGACCTTGCAGCTAAAATGTGGCTACCCTCCCACTTGCACCCCCCCACCCCATGCCCAAAACACATGCAAAAGCTGCTGGTGCAGGGTGCATCTCCCACAAGCAACTCTGGGAGGGTCACAGCCCCCCAGACCACCTCCCTGCATCGCACTCAGCTCTGACCTGCGGTGGTGGTGTCCACATCCCTGGCTGCCAGCTCCTCCACCTCTGCCCTCTTGCGCAGCTCCAGCCGCCGCGAGAAGCCGTCCCTGGGCTTCCAGAGGTCCTGGATGAGCAGTGGCTTCTCATGGTCACCCAGGACCCTCAGCCCCTCCGTCTGCCACCGCTTCTCGGGGCCCTCAAACCTCCCAATGACATCGCACAGGGCGTACTGCCCGGCGCTGAGCTGGCTCAGCCCATAGCGCTCCAGGGCTTCCTTCACCAGCTCCCGTGCACCCGAGCTGCCGGTCGCCAGCACACTCTTGTAGTTGGTGCCTGCACAGATGTTGCCTCCGAAGATTTTCAGGACACCGGGGGCTGAGAGCTGGGTGGAGAGTTCGGCTGGGTCATCCTCACCAGCTGCCGGTGAAGCAGAGGCTGAGCTCCGGTCCTTGTAGCTCAGCGTCCGGTACAAGACTTGGGAGAAAATCCGGCTCTGGCGCTTAAGCCGGTTCTTGGATGGCGGAGCCATGGTGGAGGAGGACCCATAAAACATCACGCGTGAGGTCGTCATGGGGCACAGCTGGGCAGGGAAGAGAAAAAGGGGAAGGTCAGAGGTTTGGAGGCCAGATGCGCTGCAGGCAAGAGCGAGCAGGAACCAGCTGGTGGCTGCAGAGAAGCCACTGTCACCTCCAAGGTGGAAAGGGACAGCAGCAAGGGAGGGCCGTTTCCCTTGTGTGACCCAAAACACCGGTGGCCAAGCCCAGCTGGGATCCTTGACATCAGCACGGTTACCCCAGGATGGATTTGTCCCTGAGAACATAGCCTGGAGCAGCCCCAAGTTTCTCCATCATGCATATTAAGAGGTGCCTCTTGCCCAAGCAACCTGCAGCAGGAGGAGAGTGGGGCCTGTCCTGGTCAGGAGCCAAGGCATCAGGAGTTACTTTCACTAACGAGTTTATGGAGCAATCCCATTTTTTTAGAGGTGAAACAGAAAGCTCAAGTGCAAACGCAATCACTCTGAGGTCACCGCTAAATGTTTTTGCTCACCAAGAGGCACAGGGTGAAAAGGGGCTTTAATTAGCCTTTCTAAAAATGTCCTGACTCTGGCAAATCTCTTGGCTGTTGCGAGTTTGTGGAGGATGTTAAAGCACACAGCTGGCATCACTGACAACACTGACCGTGTCACCTTAGCCTGGGCAGGGCTGCTCGGCTCAGGCAGCAACCGGAGGAGATGTGGCCATGGCTGTGCGACAGCTCCCGGCGCACCTCAATCCCCAGGAACAGGCTGGGAACCACGACGCTCTTGTGGCTGTAGGCAGATAGAAGTCCTGCCTGATGTCAGAGCTGACACCTGGGGCCAGCTTTGAAATCACATCCTGGATGCACAAACACCCGGCGCTTGCGTGGTGCTGATAATGCCACTGGGTGCACCACAGACTGCTGGCAGGGCAACTCCGGAAAGGGAATTTGAGCATTTCTGATTCAGACAGGATGGGGATTTCCCTCACCTCCAGATTTATAATATGCAGCCTGCGTGCAGGGAACAGGGACAGGCAGGGGCCTGGTGCGTACACAGAGGATCCCCGAAATGTCCCATCCGCAGCTATCGGAGCGCTTTGATGCAGCAGTCAGCACGATCCAGCCATGCATGGCCAGGGAGATGTGGGGTGCCGACAGCTTTCCACATCTGCAGCCCCATCTGCTTGGGCAGGATCTCGCCACCGGAGCAACCCCAGCGCTATCAGGCAGAATGATGTCGGCCCTGGAAAGCCTCCAAACCGCCATCTAATTCAGGAAGAAAAAGCATCCCTGCTGCTAATGAAAGAGGTCACCTTCTAACCCAGGAACAGCCTCCCTGCTGCGTATGGTGGATTTCTGCAGGGTGCACATCTCCCCATCCCAGGACCAGAGGCCCACCGAACGCCACCAATGGGGAAACTGAGCCACCAGCAAGCACCGAGGCTGCAGGACATGCCTGCGAGATCCTGCGATGCTATCACAACCCCAAGTCACCCCTTTCCCCTTCCCCAGCCCCACCAGGATTGTGAAAAAATTGGGGCTTGTCCTTCCCAACCTGCTGGCTCAGAAAGCAAGGACACAGTGGCCGTCCGGGTGCTGCGGGGCAGGGAGGGGAGCCGGCAGCCACCCCAGCCCTGGCTCATTGCTACTGCCTGGGTCACTGCAACTGGGCTTAGCGGTCAGCCTGGAAAGCAGAGCTTAGCATCTTGTGTTTTGCACCTCACCAGCCAAGCACTAGTCCCAGGAGCTTCACCACAACTTGCTGGGTTTGGGGAAGGCTGTTTCTGCTCCCACCTTGCAACTGGGGAAACTGAGGCAAGGATGGGGCTAAAGCTCCCCCCATGGCACTGCTCCTCCTCCAGCCAAGCCTGGAGCTGCTGCTCCCACTGGGGACATCCCTTCGTGTCTGCTGTGTGACACCTCCTGGGAGTGCCAGGGCAGATCCGACCTGGAGAGCAGGTCAGGGCACTGGCAGTCAGTCGGGTTCAAGAACCGCTTCCCTGGGCTGTGAGCACGGCCCCGCCAGCCGTCATTAACATTGACCCGAAGAAAAACTACCCCAGTGTCCCTACAAGACCTTGCCATCAACGATGCAAAAGACAAAACTTTGTCACCAGATCACTGTTTTCAGTTCACAGATTTAATCTCCTCTGCCCTGAACTATCTCCAGCACAAAGGGAAACCTTTTAACATCTACTGGTGGTAAAAACATTTCTCCAAGCCCACATCACAGAGACACCATCCTCACTTCTTGCAGGTCCCTGCCTGGTTTTGAATATGTTATTTATAGCACAGCTATTTTCCTGCTCTTTCTATCAAATGCAGCTTCTACAGCGTGCAGGGGCAAAGGCATTTCACAGGGAAAAAATATGAAGCCTGGACTGAGATGCTTCTAGCCTTGTCATGCTGTTATTCAACATCTGGAGCTACACTAGTGTGATTTCACCAGGCACCAGCCCAGGCCACCTGAGAAATCACAGTCTTATTCCTAAAACAGCATAATGCCCAGTCTTAATCCCCTCAAGGACTCGAATGGTTGTGATAAGATGATAACGAGATGGGCTCTTCCCACATCCATGTGCTCAGACACGGCAGTCATGGGCATCTCCAAAGAGGCTAAAGAGAAAACCATGGTACGTGCAATGCTGTTGGGTCCTGCTGTGACAGTGGGGGTGCTCCAGCCAGACCCAGCTGCCTGGGGACACGCCAGCAAGGACATTAACTGTTGAGGCACATCTTCCCGCAGGTTGGTGGGACATGTGCTCCTGGACCCCCCAGTCTGGGCGAGCCCCCCCCCGTCCATGCCATCACAGCTGTGCGCTGTTGGAGGACACACGCCTGCAGCTACGGAAGCGTGACCCAGACTTTCCAGAGTCCCTTTCTTCAGCATTCACTGACATCTCTTCTCCAATACAGTAATTAGCCAAAAGCCTGTGATTGCCTCCCAGCGGGATCTCTATCAGGTATCCACCTCCTTGCGTGCTGTGCCTGGCCACACCAAAACCTGCTATTTTCCACAGCCAGCACTGTCTGTATTTATTCTGCAGAGCTATGACAAATGCTTTTGGTATTCTGACAGCCTCCACATGTCCTTCCATCACCACAACTGACTCTGCAACCACCAGGGACTTTCCTGTGGACTCTGAGGTTCCTGTTCCCACCACGGGTGAGCAGCTCCATCCCGCTGCCCCTACCCAGTGCCCACGTAAAGCCTCCCCTTACCTTGCCATCCTTCTCAGGTGCCTTTTCTCCTTCCATTCATCCTCTTTATCAAAATTGGCCTTCCCCCCCAATCATGCGTCATCCTAGGCAGGCGTCCATCGTGCCTCTGCAAGAAGAAGAAGAGGAGCAGTCCTGGGCTGCTCACAGACATCAGCTGCTCACAGTGTGGTGGCTTTGGAGGGCTCAGAGATGCTGCAACTCTGCTCCCGATGAGCATCACATTTCGCGTGCAGGCTACTGAGTCCCATATATACCCCCTATATCTCAGCATATTCTCCCTGCCTCAAGTCTAACAGCCCAAGCACTCACTGCAGGTGAGAGCTGTTGACACTGGGGGGGCACGTTACCCACGGGGGATGCATGGCTGGTGACACGTGTGTTTGCACATGTTCATCCAGCCACAGCCCATAGATGGGGAAGACTAGTCCAGCCCCAAGCTCAGGCTCCATCGCAGCAGGAACACGGTGGCTTTGGAGGGGAGACAGAGCAAATCCAGCCACAGCGATACCCTCCAACAGCATCTACCCCATCACAGAGACAGGGAGAGAACAGATAGAGGAAAAGAAATGCTATCTGAAAGGAAAGGTGAAGGGGAGGAGATGGGACTAGCAATAACCCCATGACCTTCATCTCCTCCTGAGCACGTGTGTCCCCAGGGAGACCAGGCTGGGGACCCTCTCGCCCATGGGTGGACAACAAGTCCTGGCCCAACTCCTTCCCCCAGCAGCCACAGCATGCTCACCCAGATTTGTTTTTCCTGAATCTCAGTCTATTTTGTCTGTTTACATCAAGGACATCCACCAAGCACCGTCCCCTTGCCCACCCAGCACAGATCTGTGGGAGCACAACCCCTGGTAACCGAAAGAGAAAAGGAGAACCTGCAAAATGGCTGCGGTGATTTCATGAGTGTTTCTCAGAAAGAGCCAGCAAGGCACAAAAGATACTCCTTCCTGTGGCTCCACCACGACTGAAGACAAACATGCCATCTAATTAAATCACCTAATCAGGGCCTCGCGCGGGTTCGACCCAGCCCCTCTCGCTGGCCCCAGCGCTGGGGCTATGGGAGAAACTTTCTGCGAGGCTACAGGTCGTGATGCGAAAGGCAAAGAGATGCTGAACCCACCTCCGCCTCTTCTCCTTTCTTCTGATGATTAATCGCTCCCGCCGGTAAAATATTTATGCCTTATTTCCAACGTGTCTGGCTTCAGCTGCCAGACATTGATTCCTGTCATGCTTTTCTCTGCTCAATTAACGAGCTTTTGGCTACAATGTATTTTCTCCTCTGCAAGAGTATTTAGATGCTTTAATCAAGCCCCCCTCATTCCTCTTTGATTTGATTTATGAGTAGACTAACTGGACGGCCAATGTAGAACATTTTCAGCAGCTCCTCTGTCTCTTCCCCTCAGTTCCCACATCTCCACCACACTCTGAAGAGTCTGGGTTTGGCTGTCATAAACCCAAATTCAATTCTGATAGAGCCCTGACCAAAAATGCAAGTAGCTGCTATTTTTTTTCCAGAGCAAAACTGCCCATTATCCTGAAAATTTTCAATTCTCCAGCACAGAAACTGGGACAGACAGACAGCTGCCTCCCAGGCAGCTCCTGCTGGAGGAGGGAGCTGGTGAGTCCCTGCGCTGCCTCTCCCAGCATCTGCAGGCAGCTCCTGGAGAGAATATATCATCCAGATTAGGGACAGGAAAACACGTACAACTCCAGTTATTATTTTTGGGTGCAAAAATTTCCATTTTCCATTCTGCTCTGGTTAGGATGCCTTTCGCTTTCCCAATTTACTGTCTAGATTTGTACAAACTAGTAACACTGTGCCACTCTGGGTCAGCCCCAGGTTTTTCCAGAAATCATTTCAATCTCTTTCCAGATTAGTGATAAAAGCACTGAAACACTGAGGGCATGCGACCAGCTAGCAGTGCCCAGCAGTGATAATCTCCTCTGATAACTGCCTTTGAAATGGATCGGGTTTATTTAATACTGGCTTTCTTGACACTGTATAATGTCAGCTCTAAATACTGGACTGGACTGACTTTTTTAATACTGGAAAGTGCAGATTTTTACAAGAATATCACCTCACATAACTCAAAGGCTTCACAAAAGTGTATTACAGCCAGAGAGTCACCTCTTGTGTCAGAGACTGAAATCATTTCTACTTGCCAGGAGTTATTTTCCATACAGCCACGTTGGATGGCAGGAATTTATTCCTGGTGCTGAAGTCTTTAATCAATTAAAGCCTGAGCCAGGCTTCTCCCTCTTCTCCCTGGGGTGATGCTATCAAGCTGATCAACCTGTAGCTACCAGGTCATCTTACTCCCTTTTGGGAAGAGCAGCAACACTATTAAAACACTTTTCAATTTTCTGGAATTTCCCCAGGGCTTGTCCCGGTGCAGACGCAGCTCTGCACTGATGGGTGGTGAGATTTCAGCTATAACCATCCCAGAACAGCAACCAGGAAAGCTATTTCCCCAGATCTCTATTTGAAAATTTTCCCTTTTATTTTTTTTTTCTTCTTTCATTTTTGGATGGAAACCACTCAAGTCGCAGCCTCGGTCTAATGGCAATAACCGCAGCCTGGATACTGTGAGCAGAGGGAGAGGCCGCTCCGGCACTGCAATGTGGAACAAATTATAACTCGGAGAGCAAAGGAAATGAGAACACCCTGGACGCAGCGGCTTTGACGTGCTCTCCTTGGCTCCAAATCCTGCCCCTCTGCAGATCCTGTCCCTACAGCCAGGGCAGAGCCCAAAACTCTCTGTCCTGAATCAGAGCCCCCACTCCCTTCCATTCTGGATCAAGCCTCTGCTTCAGAGCCTGGCCTTTTCTTGTGTGAGTTTTATCCGTCTAATCTAGGGACGGATCGGAGGCTGATAATGTCAATGCCAGCCTCGGTGCCATCTTTAGCTGGATCAGAGCGGGTAAACTCCTTACCGCGTTATTATTAGCAGCGGGCACTCTGCGGTAGCGCCCTGGACCCCACGGCCCAGGGGCCATTCAAACGGGATATAAAGGCAGTCCCAGTCCTGCAAAGCTGAACTAACCATTTGTCCTAAAGGCAGTTACAGCTCCACAAACAGATTATAATGATTTGGGACCCGATTCTAAAAGGACAACAGGAGTCCTTTTAGCAGCTTTTCTTTTCTTGCTTTTTTTTTTTTTTTTTTTTTTCCCCCCATTATTTTACAGGGTCTTCTGAGCTGCCAACGTGCATCAGCTCTCCGGTAATGCGCAAGCACAAATGCCAGCCCTCTGCCCGGGCAGCTCTATTCACACACACACGCAAGAAACATTTCACAAAGAACGTTTGCTTTCTGCTGCCTTCCGAGCAGCAGAGTCTCAGTAGGCTGCCTAATTATAAGATCTTAGCCATAATTTTTTTCCAGTGATAATTAACTGATCCTGGAGAGCGCTGAAAATAAGCACTTCCCAAGCAAGTAGCAAACTCCCCTGAGTTTTCTCTGCTAAAGTTACAACTCAGCATGAAACGGCTCCAGCCTTGTGGGGGGACAGACCACCCCAGCACCTCCTCACCAAGGCCTGGGATGCCACAACAGTCCCAAGCAGCTGAAAACAGGTGAAATATCATGTGTGGAATAGCAGTGGGATCTCAACGGGGGTGCAATGCGAAGAAGGATCCCAAGGGAGGTGCAGTGGGTCAAGGATCCCAAGGAGGGTACAGTGGGGAGAAGGATGCCGGAGGGTACAATGGGGAGAAGGATCCCAAGGGATATACAATCAGGAGAAGGATCCCGAGGAGGGTGCAATGGGGACAAGGACCCCAAGGGGTACACAGCTCGGAGAAGGTTCAAGGGTTGTGCAGTGGGGCAGGGACCCTCCAGGGCTGCAGTGGGGAGAAGGATCCCCAAGGGACGTGCAGTGGGGAGAAGGATCCCCAGGTACCTGGCGATGGGACAAGGATCCCCAGGTGCTGCGTCTCCCCGGCACACCCCGCCTGCCCGCTCGCTGCCCGGTGCGGTTCAGCAGGCAGCGGGGCAGGTTGGGTCTCCAACAGCAACCGGACAAGCTTCAGCCCTGCCCGCCGCTTCCCTCCCGCCTCCACTTTCCAAGGGGACGAGAAACAAACGTTCCCGTCCGAGCAGGGGGGGGAGCGGCGGGG